GTCGGCGTTTTTCCCAATATCAGCTATAACACTATGTATGCCGTGTACGCCAATAATACATGCAACTGTTTAATCTCAAATAATTGTACTGAACCACTTAGCTATGTTGATCCGCTTATTCAGTCAAAAGTATACACAGTAACCGGACTTCGAACTGGTTGTTACGTTGAAGAAGCAACACTTCAGTCGACTCTTGAATGCTACTATAATCAAAGCTGTCTTGATACTTTTCACGCTATGATAGGTATAGATAAATTATTCCATGCAGTAGTACTCGATTCAACTTCGACATTGAGTAGATTTAGTGTTAGTTCATACATGAGTGATCTAGTCGCAGTTATGATGGTAGAAAATTGGACAAGTACATTAAATCATGAAGCATTCTATAACAGTTGCAAACCAACCAAATGTGTATATTCATACATAAGCAACAATAAATTCCTGCGTGCTATTATTACAATTATTGGATTAATCGGCGGCCTAACGATGATTTACAAAGTTCTAGTTCCTGTTATTGTTAATTTTCTGATGCGCCAAATTTTTCGAACGCCAACAACTACACAAAGTAATTGTCTTTGTTTTTGAAACTCAACGTCGCAAGAATAAAACTAATATGCCATCTCGGAAGTTAGCAGACATAGTATATCTTTTAGAATAAGACATTTGTACTTTAGAAAACTGATATGAATAGAAAGAAGAAAAGATCCACCTGTATTAACTGTATTTGTCTAATCAACCTATCATGAAAAAAAGTTTTTGATCTCGAAGATTCCTGAATTATTATTCACTACATCGAAAAAAAAATTGATCGATTTCGATTGAAGAAATTCAGCATCTCTCTTTTCTTGCTTTCAGAGTTATTCTTCAGTGAGAAATTTCATCGATTATGGAATAAAATCAAGAAAGCAATTATCAATTTGAATTTTTTCTACACACCGCCAGTGTCCGTCACCGAAGCTGCATACAAACGAAAGGTGCAGATTATTTCAACACGTGTCTTTATCATTCTTCTTCTTACTTCCCTTACAATACTGATCATTTGTGAATCTCAAGTATCTGTCACACAAATAATTACTATTCAAATACCTTCTTACGATCAATATACAGCTATCTTTAATAAGTATTCTCAAACGCTATCCTGCCCTTGTAAGACTATTTCTATTCCATATGATCAATTCATTCAGTTGAAAGTTGCTCGTTTTCACCAAATATGTCAAAGTATCTATGTAACAGAAAATTGGCGAGAGTGGATTTGTTATTCAGGTAATGGAAGTCTTTTCGTTGAAGATTTCCGTCTCACTGGTCCACCTTTCTTTCGTGCATTGAGTTCATTTTGCAATATGACACGAAGGGCCATCAATGATGAACTGATCATATTCAATGCCAAACGTTTTGTCACAAGTCATGTGATGGATATTGATCTTTTTCAAGTAGAATCTCAATTATTCATTGAATTGTTTATATCATCCATCACAAATACATTTATACGCTCGATTCGACTTGTACGTGATACTACTCAAGGTAACGCTCTTAATTCGGTGGCGACAGCTAATATTTTGTATACTCTCGTGCCTCAGAATAATAGCATTGTTGTTAAAACATGGTATGCCACTCGTAACATCAATGAATCATTAAATTGTACTTGTCAGCAAACAAAAACATGTGTTGCTGAAGCGGGTTTCTACTTGCCCGATCCAAGCAATCCTCAACGTTTTCTACGGTCGCCCATACAAGGCTTATTTCTCGGTTGTTATATTGAGGAATCTCTTTTGCAATCCAGTCTTGTTTGTTTTTATAATCAATATTGTATCGATTCATTTAAGAACATGATACATTCTCCTATAGAATTGAACACAATTGCACTCGATCGAACTTTGCCTAGCCGATTTGCACCAGATTCAACGCTTGGTAGTATCGTGAAGAAATTGATGGTTGAAGAGTGGATTAATACAACATCACACAAGGCGTACTATGATCGATGTCAACCAACCACATGCACTTACTCATATGTGGGCAAAAATGCATGGCTTGTTGTGATCAGCACTACTATCGGACTGATCCGAGGTTTAACAATTATTTTAAAAATTGTTATACCTCTTGTTGTCAAATTACTCTGTTATTGCTGTTGCAACCGAGTTCAACCATTATCAAGTAATTAAAAACCATGAAACCCAAAACTATTTTGTATTTACATGTTGTTTGCTTCGTCGTTGTTGTTCATGTTCAATGTTGTGTATTACCCGCTACATACAATAATTCTCAATAAAATGAAAGTATGTCGAACAATATTTATTTCACGTTTCGCATTCGACGTATGAGAATTCGTTCTATTGAGTTTTAAAGCAGCGACATGTTGAGATGATTTATAAGCACGATGAACAATGATATTATAAACAACTGTGGATGTGGGTGGATATGCATGTTGATCTTCTATATCAAGAAATGTTAGCGAATAAAATCGAGTACAACATTCGACAGAATAGAGTACGAGAAATAATAGTTTGTGAACTGATGGTGCGAATTGATCAAAGAGTGCAAGTGAAGGTGCTAGTTCTTTTTATCTCCGACTAATTCTCACCAGACCCTACGAAAGTGAGAGCAGTGATTTACACGAACTAATAATTGAAAATAACTCATTACTATCTAGCAACACGAGAAAAATTCTTGAAATTTATACTGCTTCTGTGAAACAGTTTTTTATGCACTCCTCTTATTTTTCTTCGATTTTCGGACCTTCATGAAGGGTCTGATTCTCATATAGATAAATTATTGCAGACAAAATATTGCATTATCTCATACTATAATTCATTTGAGCATCGACGATTAATTTTGTAAGAAATCATTGTGAAGAGTAAAGAAAAACAATGAGGAAACATAATAGTTGTTAAAAAGAATTGATACTGGATTGAAAAAGGATTAACACATTCATAAAATTTACAATGTTTCGCTGCAATTACACTTAAACAATCATTTGTATAAAAAAAATCTTTCAGATTCTCTCAATAAAATAAAATTTTGAGTCAACTTTTAAAAATACTTTTGTTATCGACGTAATTTAAAAGAGCTGTAAGCAGAATTTAGAATTTACCTTCGGAAAACTCTTTGTAGATTTTGTAAGTATGCCAATTCATTCTGAAATCAATTTTTTTGAAAGATTCTTACTTCATTGAGCATAATAGATTTTGCCAAATTTAAGATATGATATAGATGTGATCGTTTTATAAGTTTTAGCGCAAGACGCTTAAAAAATCTCGAATCATTGATTTATTGGTATCGCTAAAGCTCTATTTTTATTTTTTATTTCTAATATATATATATATATGCATTTTAATTTGTGTTTAATTAGGTGGAAAAAGTAATTGGTGATTTAAATGAAAAATGAACTGATATGAATTTTCGTGTTTTAATACCAAATGTTTCAGTTGGTGATTTCACTGCTCGATTAAACAAAGGCGTCAATCATGTTTTTTACTTTTATTTAATTTTCTTAAATAAAATTTGTTGCTTAGATTTAATATTAAGAAAATCTGTTTTGAAATTAAAGAAACTGTCAATGATTTATTATAGAATGTTATGGCTTACAAGAACGATGAAATTATTTGAGGAAATTTCATTGGTGATACACATTCATTTAGTTTTTATGCTAAAGTTGGTATTTCGAGCAATAACAATTTTGTTCAACTTGTTTCATGGAATATTTAATAGTTTTCTCTACAAAATAGAATAATTTTATGTTTAGATATGACAATTAATATGATTATTCGAGTTGTGTTTTTTTTTCATTTCATTAAATATATTGCCAATAAAGATCATCCAAAATAAACTTGAACAATCCGTAAAATGATTATGAACATAGATTAATTAGTTTTATCTAATTTAACTTTGTCTATTTTCAAACAACTTTTAACTTTGAAAAAAAAAAAACGAAAAATCTTTTGAAAATTTTTCAACAGGATTTAGGTAGAAACAGAAAATCAATATATGATGAAAACGATGAATTACAGGATTTATTGCCGTGGGATTTACTGCCGTTTTAAATATATAAGGTGAAATCAAAGTTTAGTTTTTTTAAGTGTTAGTACAATATAAAATTGATATTATTATTCAGTGGACATTGAGACATTGAACGAATCATAAAATTTAAGAAAAACTAAGGTGTGGGTGTGGGTGTGGGTATGTGGGCGGGGTGTGAATGTTGGTATGGCTGAACATGGAGAGCTACCACACCCACACCCTCTATGTAACACTTCAGACAAATCATTATTATTAATAATTCTGTTGTTTTAATTCCAGTTAAGTGTTAATTTGTTAAGAATTGAAGAGTATATTTTTCAAGAAAAATATTCAAAATTTAAAAATTGATGTGTGCTGGGAAAAATCAAAAAATTTTACACAAAGTTTTCAAATACGTACTATCTGACTCGTTTTTACGATAAAAAACACAACAAACTACATATAAACTCTTCAATGAGATTCATTTTTAAAGCTTTTTGTTTTTCAATTCAATTCTCTTATAGAAACAAAATATTGTTGATTTTGTACGGGATATATGAGTTATTTATTGTAGAATCTTTCAAATCCGTGCAAATCTTTGTGTCAATTATAATCAGTTCTATTTGCTCTACTCGATATTAGTATTCTATTCCAGTAAATCTAAAAAAAAATTGCTTTCTTTTTTTTGATTTTGCGAAATAGAATACCAATATGGAGTAGAGCAAATAGAACTTATGAAAAATTGACACAAAGATTTGCTCAGATTTGAAGAGATTTCTATAAAAAATCTACACACTTTATGTCAATACTTCAAAAGACTATTGATTCATACACATTAAGTTGCTTAGACATTTTTTTCTATAATTAACATTTCTTCAGCGATCATTATGTATCTGCGATTCTTGAGAATACTTTTCCTAATAGTTAGTTATATATCGTATGTGATTACGAATTACGAATGTAATCAACGATTGGTTCCATGTGGTTGTGGCTTTAAAAATGTTGAGATGAATGCACGTATTATCAATGGTGAAAATGTTGTTCCCTACAGCTGGCCGATGATAGTATCACTTAGATACGATTGTTACGATGATGGAAATATTTCGAGTCATTGTTGTGGTGGTACTATTCTAACCGATTCCTATATACTCACAGCTGCACATTGTGTCAATATAATACCTCTATCTAGCATCTTAGCAGGAAATTTTACGATTGCTGCTGGTTTTTATAGACGATCTCAAGAATGTCAAACAATTAGAAAAGTTGATCAAATTTTTATTCATCCTAATTGGACAATATATGAGAACAAACTTAGATACGATATTGCTATACTTCACTTAGACGAACCACTTGATTTTCACACGAATTTGTTTATTAGTCGAACATGTCTGCCACCTCGATTAAATTCTACGAATGATATCATAAACTATCCACCTTCTAATATTTCTCTAGCTGTAATTGGATGGGGTTTTCTTCATCCTTCTAATTTTACACCACCTGACATATTACAACAGACAACTCTTTTATCGATTCATCAAAATCATTCAATGTGTGCCAGATCGATAAATCATATTGAAACACAATTTTGTGCAGGAGATGTCGAAGGTAGTAAAGGTAATTTGTTTGATTTTGTTTTTGTTTTTTTTTGAAAATTTTATATCTTATCAATCAATTTTACCCACTTTTGTTTAAGCTCCATGTATAGGTAAGTATATAAAAAGTGTCAAATTTTTTCTCTTTATATATTTTACTCTGTAGGCGATTCTGGTGGTCCAATTCTTCAATGGATTGGTGATCGTTGGGAACAAGTTGGTATTGTTTCATATATGATATTTGGTTGCTCATCATCTAATAATGTAACTGTTTTTACACGAATTGCTGCTCTCAACAATTGGATCGAGTCAATTTTGACTGTTGATAATACATCGACATCTACTACTATTGACTCAACTATTATAAGTACAACGACAGATACAATACCTTCAATTATTTATCATTGTGAGAAACAAAATGTTTCATGTGGTTGTAGTTTTCTTGATGTTTCATTTCCTCTATCAAGAATTATTGGTGGTCATGAAGCAAAACCATTTAGTTGGTCAATGGTTGTTTCCTTATTGTCGCTAAGTAGTAATGAACATTTTTGTGGTGGATCCGTGCTCAATAATGATTACATTTTAACATCTGCACGATGTGTAGAAAATCAGTCGATTTTAAACATCTTAGTTGTACCAATAGTACACAATCCATCGGATATAGCTTGGTCTCAATATCGTCGTAGAGTTGAACATATTTACTTCCATCCTAACTATACAAGTTCATCTGGTGAATATTTAAATGATATTGCAATTTTACGTTTATCGTTTTCGCTCGGCTTGGAAACAACTTTATTCATTTCTCGAACATGTTTACCTAAAATTAATTCAACTGATGATGTTACAGATTATCCTTCAACTGGTACAAAACTAGCTATAGTCGGATGGGGTAAACGACACCCGAATGCTTCTAATTTAGTTAACAATCTTCAACAAGCACAAGTCTATACATTGGATAATAATGATCCGACGTGTTATTCACAAATAGTCGATCCTAAGAATCAGTTTTGCGCTGGAATTGCTGACGGTATCCGAGGTTTGTTCTATTGATATAATCTCTAGCATTTGAATTCATCAGATTCTTTTTTTCTATAGATGTGTGTATAGGTATTACAAAATGATTTTTTTTTTAAATAAATTAAATGATCGTTCTGATTTTATTTCAACCAGGTGACATGGGTGGACCGATATTTCAATGGATGTCAAATCACTGGGAACAGGTAGATATAATACGATAATAATGAATATTATGATTGATTTTTAATAAAAGTCGCATTGATCTATTTATTTTAATTTTTTAACTAGTTAGACTTGTCAGTATTAGGAAAGTAACATAATAGAACTATTTTCTATGAAACAAAAAACTAACACTTCGAAATGCTTATCACGATCTGTGAGACAAAATGATGAGAGGCTCAATTTCTCATCACATACCGCCACACCTTGTTCGATCAAGAATTTATTCATTCAATTGATCGTATTCAGTAATTCAAAAGTCCAATATAGTTTCATTGTTGAGATATCAGACTTTTGCTAAATTCTTCTATAAGAAGTCGTGACCTTTATCAGGATGATGATGATTTTTGCTTCTCTTCATTTGATACAAAAAAGATCTGAAGATCACTCTGTAAGCTTAATCAATAACGATATTTTTTTTCCGTCTTCTATTCATTATTCTCTTACTACTACTCTAGTAGTTTATCATCTCGATGCCTACAAACAAAATATTTGTTGTAGATTGTCACAAAAGAGATAAATGAGTTCTGTAGAGTTTTGGAAACTTAACATGTATTTTTATTCATATCGGAATTCTTTCACATTTCTTTTCTATATGATAATGACGGCTTTCTGTGAGGACTAGAGCCCGTCTGGTAGGATCCGGACCGGAGCGGGTCCGGGTCCGAAGGAAATCTTGATGCACATAATATGTTTTGAATTTTTTTTAAAGTTTTGTTCGTTTATGAAAAAAAAGAAATCAAATTTATTTAGAAAATAAATAAAAAATAGCCAAATTCTTCTTGACTATACTATCTAAATCGATTTATCATTGTGTTTAGATCCAAAAAATTTAAGCGGCCGGGTCTGGGTCCAAAAATCTTTGGATCCGACGGGCTCTAGTGAAGACATTCAAGCCAAGATGTGAAATCTTCATAATATTTTCTAATGAGAAGGTCAGTTTTTGAAAATCTAAAAGAAAAGAAATAATCAGTTTTAATAATCTTTGAACGAAAGGCAAATGGGATGAAGTTCAGATCTAGAAGTATAACAATCAGATCTTTATAGTTGTGCTGAAGAATGATAAAATACAACAATTATTACTATGACAATCACAGTATATTGTATTAAAATCTGCTCTCATGTTCTTGTTCTTTTTTTCTGTAGAAAAATATCGACTCATGTACCATTTTCTCTGATATGGTATATATTTTCGAGTTAAAGTTTTTTTGTATCAATACTAACTTAGATGGACATCTGTTGATTCTTTTTTTTTTTGTTATTTTTGAAAACTTTCTTTATCTAAAGAAAGACATGTATAGATTTATATCTATTATGTGTATACAGAATGTCTCAACTCAGTCGTATACATTTAGTTGAAGAAAATGATGCACATTACTTCAGATTCTTTTCACAATTTAATTCCAACTCGTGTATCTTGTAGGATGATCCTCAGTCTAGTAGAATATTCTGAAATGAAACTTAGCTTACATTTCGAATCATTCTTCACAGAGAATATTGTTTAATTTTAAACACTATTGATTCTTATAAAAAAAAAAAGAATTAGATGGAAAAAAAAACGAATCTCATGAATACCGAATCATGCTGTTAGAATAACTTATTTAAATGTTTCTTTCATGCATTATTAAGGTGGGTATTATAAGTACTACTCAATGTGGAATAAATTCTGTCCCTAGTATCTATACACGATTGGCTAGTTATAACAGTTGGATCACATCTGTTATGGATATAGATGATACAACTTCGACTACTACATCTACATCCATCAGTATTACTTCAGCAGATCCTATTATTCATACTTATCTTTGCAACAAGAACATGAGAGATTGTGGTTGTGGTTATCAAAATGTTCAACTTGCTACGTCAAGAATTGTTGGCGGTAACGAAGCTATTCCATACAGCTGGTCGATGATTATATCGATCCGATACAATTGTAATTTTGATGGAAATGTTAATGCTCATTGTTGTGGTGGTACTATTCTTAATGATTATTATATTCTTACAGCTGCGCGTTGTGTTGAACAAATAGATCAATCATCCATACTATTACAAAATATTACTATTGTTGCTGGAATTCACAATCTATCAGAAGTCAATCAAATAATTCGACATGTCGATCAGATTTTTATCCATCCTGAATATGCTGGACAGTCATATCTATATAAAAATGATATTGCTATCCTTCATCTAGACAAACCACTTGGTCTTGACATAAATCCATTTATTACTCGAACTTGTCTTCCACCTCGAATCAATTCATCCGAAGATATTGTCGAATATCCATCAAATGGATCCATGTTAGTTACTATAGGTTGGGGTATTACATATCAGCTGGAAAACATGCAACCTCAAGCCTTACAGCAAGTGGGTATTTATGCAATTCATCATAATAATCCGATGTGTGAAAGATCCATTGGACATATTAATGTTCAATTTTGCGGAGGATTGTATGATGATCGTACAGGTGAGAATTTTCTTATAATTACGTAAATCATAACGTTGATTCTTTATATATGTACTTTTACTTAGGTATATGTTTTGGTAAGTAATTTTGTTTAAATATAGAATGAATGAATTTATTAATTTGTTCTTCTTTTAATATTTTTCCTACAATAGGTGATTTTGGTGGTCCAATTTTCAAATGGTTGGATGATCATTGGCAACAAGTAGGGATTTCCTCTTATGTGATAAATGACTGTGCATCAGTAGACTATCAAAGCGTTTTCACAAGACTTGCTGCTTTTTACGATTGGATCGAAGAAGTTGTAAATCAAAGAAACATTACAACACTAGCTTCTTCTAAAACAACTACTACTTCTACTGCTATCAATACTACGAAGTCCTCAGATTTCTTTCCATGTAATAGATCTGTTTCGTGCGGTTGTGGGTACAATGATGTACTTTTAACATCCTTACGTATTGTTGGTAGTGAAGATGCTATTGACCATAGCTGGTCAATGCTGGTTTCACTTCGTTTTGGTACATCTAAAGTTCATGGATGTGATGGAACTATTCTTTCAGCTTCGTATATTCTTACTGCAGCTCATTGTGTATGGAGATATGTAGAATGGCCAAGCATGGTGAGTGTGGCTGCAGGTATGACAAATCGATCAGATCAAATTGTCTACGAACGAAATGTCTCTCGTATCTATCTACATCCAAACTATACCCACTTCTTCAATGATTTTCGTAATGATATTGCTTTGTTGTATATTGACCGTCCGTTTATATTTCATCACAATGAAATGTTGGCTAAAACGTGTGTACATCATATCGATCCGTCACTTTCTATTAGTCAATATCCAAAGAATGGCACACGTCTTGTTATGATTGGTTGGAGTACGATGACTCCAGAAAGTTCAGAATCAGTCGATCATCTTCAACAAGTTCAAGTTTATGCAATAGACAATCACGATCCAGCATGTTCCGATTCAATCAATGATGTTAATATGCAATTCTGTGCTGGATTGTATGAAGAAGAGAAAGGTCAGTAAATTATAACTCAATCTTAAATTTATTTAACATAGTTCTAATATTGTTCAAAATAATATTTTATTATGAATGAATATTATATTCGATGTAGGAAATGTAGAATGTTCATTTTTCTTTTTGTTTATAATCATACTTTCGTCCGTATTATGGACAAACTGGACAATAATAGAAGAAATTCAGATCTGTACAATCTTATTCAAAGAAATTGTCAGATTTCATGCATAATTCAGCAGATAAATTTTCATTTGCTTACAATTAATAGATAACTTTTTTCTTTTATTCTTAATATTGTTCAACTGGATCATTTTCTATTTCTTTTCTAGATTTCTGTCAAGGTATGTTTTCAAACATTATTGATTTTTCTGTAAAAAAAAACAATATTTATTTATTTGACTATATAGGTGATTCAAGTGGACCCATTTTTCAATGGACGGGACAATATTGGGAGCAGCTAGGTGTGATTTCTTACGGGTTTGGCTGTGCACGACCCGGTTTTCTCGGTATTTATACTAGATTGTCATATTATTATGATTGGATGCAAAACATTCTTAATATGGCTGGTGAACATATCGAACCACATGTATCATCGCATGTCAGCACCAATACTACGATAGTGACAGCCGCTATCACTACAACTAAATCTCCATCAACCAACAGTTCAATGAGCTATCTTATACAAACAGAAAAAATGCTTATATTCGGAACACTGTTTGTTCTCTTTATGTTTCCTTTGATAATATAAAGATTGCTTTGCGTTTGTTTATCTTAAGAAAGAATATATTTAATTATTAATCGTCGATTAGAATTTCCTAAAAATTTCTTCTAAAGAAAAATATTTAAAAAAAAAATGATCATATCCTAATAAAAAAAGTCAGATGATTAACTTTTCTTTAGCATTCAATGTCTCAAGAAACTGTTCATTTTTCTTTCTGAAATTTTTAGAATATTCTAATAATCATTAGGCCTATTATATGGACAAATTTCGATCATGCAATTTTTTCATAAATGATTTCCCAGAGATTGAAAGTACAGTAGAATAATTATAACTTGGTTAGAGCTGCGTACGGAAACAAATCCCTTTAGAATTTCTCTAAAGAACTCTAATTATCGACAAAACATCTGACTAACCGCTGAGTGAGGGTGGGTGTGGGTGTAGGGTCGGAGGTGTGGATGTGAATCTTGAACAAAAGAAGACACCCACACCCACCCTTCTCAGCGTAGGAAAAATATTTTTCAAAACCGATACGTAGTTTTTTTACTGTCATATGATGGTTCGATTGATGTATGAATATCGAGAAAATGTTTTGAAACAAAAGACTAGATAGGTTTGCAAGATGAAGATGTCGCTATGCCATTTTTTTGTCATCATCGATCTTTCGAAAAAAAATAACTACTTTAGAAAATATCTAAAGTGGCCTAAAATTACACGATAATACTCAGTTTGAAACGCTGAATCCAAATAAGTTTCTTTAAAAAAAATATAACACATAAATGGACGAATTTTTCAATTTTTTTCGACAGTGCTCATTGGTTGCCTATTTTTCGGTTTTCCAGTATTTCGGTGTTTTCCGACCCAAAACTTGATCAAAACACAAAAAAAATATACATATTCGGAATCAGCTCGACGAGCTCTATCAGTTGATGCGGGAAACAAAAAAACTTTTTTTTTTGCTTACGTTTTGCCCTTGGTGCACCTTACTAAGAAAAAAAATGACAAAAAACTACAAAATAATATTATTGTTATAGGATACTGCCATGGTCAATCAATCACGAGAAACACAAAGTATGCAGAAAAATTCCCATTTTATCAGACTTTGTACAGCTTTTTTCGCTGATCATTTTGCTAAGAAAAACATTGTGAATTTCATTGAGAAATGACGGTATTATAATCAAAATATTAAATACTGTGAAATACTGGGTGTCCGAGAATGTTTGCAACATAGTTTGTTTTGCGAATATCTCTGCACAGACAAATGAAAAAATCTTGGCTTTTATTTCAAAAGATGTGCCGTGAAAAACTCTACAAAAACTGTAAGAACAAATCCTATTGACTTCTTTTGATGGTTTCTTCCATACTCAAAATGAAAAGAAAATGCATGATAGTGCTACTTCCCACCGTATTTAACATAATAAAAATCTTTGGAAGATTGTTATATTTTGCATGTATCTCGGCTTATAAAAATGATAGCATCTTGATTTTTTTTCAAAAGATGCGCCATGGAAAGCTCTACGAAAAGTTGTATAAAGAAATCCCTATTGCACAACAAAAAGCCTTTCAAATCTTTTTATTATCATTTTGTAGTTTTTTATATCATTTTTTTCTTAGTACTGAAGTTTGTTTTTCCCTATTGTATTTCATAATCAAGAGTTTTTCCAATCGAACGGGTGTTTATACATAGCACTCGATCTCTGCTATCCAATCATATAATTGGATTAAACTAATCTCATGCAGTTTTAATACACGACTCAAAACAAAAAAGTGGAGCCAGACTTTTGACCTTCCATGCATCCATTTTTTAATTTTCGACGCATCCCCGAGAGTTTGTCAGCAATGTAATTTCACGTGTCTGGATGCATCCAAAATGCAACATTTTCGGGTGTTCTAACGCCATACCAGTTTGAAACGCGGACAAACACGTTTAAGTTTGTGCCACGTTTGGATGCGCCTAAAATGCAACATTTTTGGGTGTCCTAACGCGTTCTAATAGAGAAACGCATCCTGACGTTGTTTATTGTTAGACGCGTCGAAACGCATTTTAGGATATTCAAAATTTGTTAAATTTTAAAAAATTGTGCTCTATATCATGGTATCGATCCATTTTCATCGCTACATGATATTTTAATTTTAATTTAACACATTATTAAGTTATTGAATAGAGTGCAACAAACAAGATTCGATCATGATGCCTACAGAATGAAAGACATTGAACTTACCACGAAGTTATAAATACTCGTACAGTCTTATCTGTTATTATCATGTGACTTTTTATAGAGAAAAGATCAATTTATAGCAACTGCTTCATTAAATTATATAAACTTTGAAATATTTTCATTTTTTTAATTTATCAGTGTCACTTAAAATTGCATATATGACATTGGTTACATATAACTAACTTTATAAAAACAATAATTATAGTTTTTGGATCGCAGAATACGAGAAAAACGGTTTTTTCGATAATTAATTGCATATTCAATAAATGCTCAATGGATGCAGCATCTTAACTTTTTTGTCTTTTTAAAGTAAAAAAAATTAATTTAAATTTTAAATTCAAATTAAGCAATTATTTTTTCTTTTTCTTTTTTACTTTGAATGAAATTTTTAATCATAGCGAGGTGAAGATAAATTTTATAGAAATTACTTTTCAAAAAAAATAGTGGAAATTGAAGAAAGTAAATTTAAAGAATTGCGTATTTTGTAGACGATTATATGCATTTTGTTTCTTCTGTCACATATGACTCTTTAGTGTAAGAATTCGTATATGAAGAAGCAGAAAAAACTTTAGACTTTAACACATAAACATTAAATGTATTGTAAATGCGTTCATAATCAACCCAGATAAAATATTTGTTGCACATGGACGCATCTAAACGCTCGATGGCAATAGTGTCTGAATGCATATTTTGAGTTCTGACTGCATTTAAACGCCATTTTAAGTTGTTTTTAGCCCCATTCAGACGCAATCCTGTTTCAAGTTGTGTTTGAAAAGCAACTCTACCATTGTATCTGAGCTACATCCAATTTCATTCGTTTCTTCTACTTCTTATCTGTTTGTATCTCTAATAAGTTTACATGGAAACTAACTTTGAACTTCATGTTTCAGTTAAAATGGACATTTTTGCTTAACACTTAAATTTTATTTGTTTTGAAATTTAAATTGCTACGCTTAGCATATGTGTTATACAAGAGCGAAATTGATTTCGTGAAAAAAAAGTGCTGGTAGTGACATGTAGCAAAATAATATTATTGTAATACCGTTTTCGAATGAATGTTCTGTGCATTTCAAAATTTGATACGTGTACTCATTTGTTTCTATTTCACAGATTAACTAAGTCTTCATGACTTTATATGATGAACACAAATATGATTAGATTTCTCGTATCCAATTACTTGTATTTATATTCTGTTTCATGTAATGCTAGCCACTGATATTTTAAATTGCAGATTATAAAGAAGAGTCCTTTTTAAGAATTCGAAACGCAGTAAAACTTGAATACGTCGCCTATATAATTAGCTATATAATTTTTATGCTTTTTTGAATAAAAAATACGCAGTTCAGTTTACTGTTCGACATCTCGTCACGTGTACTGTGATGAAGTAATCTGCATTATTGATAGCACTATATGCATGTGCAGCTAGAATTGTGTTCAAATGCATCTTGTCTATGTAAAATAGAAAAAGAAACTACATTTACATGCACGATTGGAACTCCAAAGCATTAGTTGAATATAGAGGAAGCGCGTTCACATGCAAAAGTAAAAGCAATTGCATTCAAGCGCGTCTAAGTTAATATTATTTCCAGGTATGAACCAATTCCGATGCAAAAATGATACTGTTCGCGTTGAAACGCCTTTAAAAACTACTGTAAATCAGTTGTGATGCGTTTTAGTCACGAAATGCCTCTGAACGCATGCAAGACTTTGCAACGCGTTTAAACACGTCAAAAATGCGTTTTATGATTACATGGGCTGCACTGTTAAAAAAGTATATATTCGTGATCAGCTTTTCTCGCTCTATCAAACCATA